AAAAAAAAAAGAATCTAAGCCAACACATAGACATCCATAGGAGTTCATTCAATAGTCCAGATATTATTGGCATTCAGCTTTCTGAATAATAATTAAATTACATGATCATTAATGAATCAAACTTTTGATATTCAATATATAAGCATAACTAGAATAAACTGATGCTACTGTCCAAGTAGCTCCCCTTTTCTTCTGATTCTATGCTTGATCAAGTTACTAATCACAGCTAAGAACTGTATTATCTGACTTGCTATTTATGAACCATCAAATTACTTTTCTAATGAAAGACACTATTTTTATAGATATCCCATTTTGCACATGAACATTCCTGACTCACATAGACTGCAGTTATCCTTTGGGCTATCTATAACCATTAAAACTGGCTTGAAAAATTGGTGCTTTAAATACTATGGTTTTATTTTAGAAGAAACTCTGTGACATGTAGCTGTCCCCCTCAAGACGTTGTTCCTATTCTATAGCAGATGTGAGTGATCCTACCCAGTCAATTCAAAGGCAAGTTGCTATGACATTAAAAGCTGTGAAGCATTTAAATTGCTTCATATATTAATAAATAACACAGTAGTAACTCAGCTTTCCATATCATATCATGGGAATTATATATTCTTTGGCCATCACACTAAAGTTATTTCACCAAGAGAAAATACTTTCCTCTTAAGTGTTAGGGATTCCAAAATTCTTAGAAGTAAAAATTCATCTTAAATACTTAAGCTTTTTACTTAATTAGTCATTGAATATTTATTGTCACATACACTCTTTTATGTTCTTGTGCTAAGAACTGAAAGTAGATTTCTTAGTAAGTAGTTATTATCCATATCAAGAATTTAGAAGCCACTTGGAGTAGTATATGTTAATTTATAACAATAATTGCACAAGAGAAATAGGCAACATGATAGCCTATGAGAAAGGAGAGAATAATAAATATATTTATGACTTTTTAGTGTCAATAATATAAAAGTCTGGTTCTTAGTATCCAGTGCTACTGAACCAAGGTCCCTCACAGTGTGGGGAAAGCCTGCATGGGTCTTCATTAGATAGGGTCCTAAAGTTGAAAGAAGTAGACACGTACCACCATTCCTAATTTTGAAGGTATCTACAATTGATGACTACTTGCAAATGAAAGTTTTGGTTTTTTTCGCAATAGAGTTTCACTGAAGAAGCAAAATACTCTTAAAAGTAGACTGCATGCCCTAAAGTATCTTATTTGAATATTAATGATATTTAAAATACATTATAGTTTTTTTCTCAATAGTTTCTGTGGTGATTTGAATAAGACTGGCCCTCATAGACTTATAAATTTGAATGCTTAGCCACCAGAGAATGCCACTATTTCAAAGGATCAGACAGTAGCCTTGTTGAAGGAATTGTATCAGAGGTGGGTAAGCTTTGAGGTTTCAAAAGCCCAAGCCAAGTTCAGTGTCTTTCTCTCTGCTCACAGATCAGGACATAGCTCTCAACTACCTCTCCAGTACCATGTTAGCCACCCTGTTTCCCACCATAATGATAATGTACTAAGCCTCTGAAACTGTAAATAAGGTTTATCTTTTAAGAGTTGTAGTGGTCATGGATTTGTCTTTCCAACAATAGAACTGTGACTAAGGCAGAAGTTGGTAACAGGGAGCAGGGTACTGTTGTGACAGGCCTGACCATACTGTTTGATGGGGGAATAAGCAAAAAAATGAAACTTTGGATGACTTTGGTTAGATGCTCAAAATGGGGCTTAATGGGACATCCTTGTAGGAGCATGGAAGACAGTGCTAAGTGTGATTTGGACCATGTATGTGGTGGAGGACAGCTTAAGATGTTTCAGAAAGGAAGAATATTAGTAAGTGTTGAATTGTTCTCATGACATTTGGCAAAGAATGTGCCTGTTTTCTGTCCTTGTCCCCCTTGTTCTGTTCTTGCTGAGGCTGAACTGAAGAGTTGTGGATTTATGACACTGGTAAAGAAGATATCAAGTCAGCCTAATATTGACTATGTCATGTGGCTATTAGAAATCATTCTTATTTAGATTTACAAGAAAGGGAACAAGATAGAGAAAGGGAAATATAAAATGTATAGTTTGAGGATATAAGGAATGACAGGAAGTCTAATGGAACTGTATGTTATGCTCAAGCAGACAAAATGTATAAAGGAAAGCCTGGTACAAAATGGAATAAAGGCAGTGGTGATCTCAAGCCAAGTCCCCAACCATCCAATGTCTAACTTGTAAAAGGAAATTAAAGAAAAGCATAAGCAATGAAGGATACCATCAACAAGAGAAGCTGATACAAATGTAACTAAACAAGGAGCTCAAGTTCCAGCCACATCAAGGAGCATAACTTGGCAGGAGTCTTAGAAGATACTTTGGACTTTGAACTTTAAAGCAATCTTAGGGACTTCTAAAGTTAGACTAAATGCATGTCTGCATTATTGCATGGGTAAAAGCCCATAGGAGGTAGAGAGTATAAAGTAATGGTTTGAGTAAGAATGGTCCCCAAGGGCTATCATATATTTGAATGCTTAGTCACCACAAAGTGGTACTATTTGAAAGGTTTAGAAGGATTAGGAAATTTGGCCTTGTTGAAGGGACTGTGTCACTAGAGATGGGCTTTGAGATTTCAAAAGACCATGCCAACCCCAGTGTCTTTCTCTCTGCCCATGTATCAGTATGTAGCTCTCAACTACTTCTCTACCATCAGGCCTGACATGCCTGTCACCATGCTGTCTGCCATGATCATAATGGATTAAGCCTTGAAACCATGAGCCAGCCCCAATTAAATGATCTTTCTTATAAGTGTTGCTGTGGTCATGGTGTCTCTTCAAAGAAAGAAAACAGTGACTAAAACGCTTTATATGTTCTCCAAAGAAATACAGGGTTTTAATTGCTATCAATTGCTGATATATCTTAACCTGACCAATTTCATATTTAAATGTCAATGACACCTAATCTTCTTAAGTAAAATTGAAATGCCTCTGACATAGTTTGGAAAGGTGAGTTCAGCGTATTGATGCATAAATTGCAGAAATTAACCTATAGAAATATAATTTCAAAAGAGTGTGCCATTGGCCTCTACGTGAAGTTCATTAGTATTAAGTTTATACTTAGCTAGACATGAATAACAGGAGGGATTCATGACAAATAACATCAAGCACATATGTTTTGTTGGAACTTCTGTCTATAGCCACTCATGTACTCTATTGTGACGTAAACACTCACTTTCTGAATGAAAGAATGAGTGAGTAAGTGAATAACTATGTGACCAACTTTCCTCACTTTTAACAATCTAACATTTAACAATGTTAAGAATGAAGGGCAGCAATAAGCACATGTGAAATATTTACAAGCTGTGTATACAGAAAAATCCCCCAAAATGTTGATTAGAATCTGGTACTTGGGTTTGTGGTGGTTCTTGCTGAGTTTTGTTTGTTTCTTTGCTGTTTGTTTTTTATGCATTCAACACAAACAGGGCAATCAATACATACCATTATCAAAGTATCTGACGGTTGAATTTCTGGATACACTGGGATCAAAATTTGCCATTAAAGGGGCTATATACTGTGTAGCTGTTAGCATTCGATGTACAACTTCTCCAGTGTATATGAAACCTATAATGAGAAAAATAGGACATTTGTTAAGAAAGATTGCCAGATAAAACTATAACTGAAATAGCTATGATTCAATCACAGCCATACTTTATAGATAGATTAAGACAAGGGACACACTTAGTGTCTTATTGAGAACACTTTTCCTAAATAAAGTAACAAATTCTTGTATGAATTGTCAGTTTCTACCAGAGTTGCTTATCAGCAACCCAAGATGTATATACTTTTAATTGTGTACAAAGTGACTATTACCTCAAAGAGACAGGGTAAAAAATGTTTAACACAGAGGTAAAGAAAATAAAATCTTTCATTTTTATATTTTAACCTTATTAATTAATTATGTGTGGATGTATGTATATGTGTATGTATGTATGTATGTATGTATGTACGTATTATGTATGTATGAGTACTCTATCTACATGTTCACCTACATGGCAGAAGAGGGCATCAAATCACATTATAGGTTATCAGCCATCATGTGGTTGCTGCGAATTGAACTCAAGACATCTGAAAAGATGTAGCCAGTGCTCTTAACCATTGAGTCATCTCCCCAGGTACTAATGTTTCATTTTAACAATAACCTGATGCAAGCACTTTTATAGGTGAAATTCTTTTCATTACATTTATTTCTGGGTTGGTTTGTTGTTGCTGCTGTTGGTGTTCCTGCTGCTGCAGCTGCTGCTGCTGCAGCTGCTGCTGCTGGCAATAATGGAGATCAAACCCAGCATCTCATACAAGAGGTAGGTAAGCACTCTCCTCCTGAGCTACATCTTCAATCTTAAATTTTCCTAAAATACAATCTCTGCATTTAAAGAGCCCAGATTCTAAGAATTAGTGAATATTTCTACTTTGTTTGTTTGTTTGTTTTCTTAGAACAAGTTGAAAAGGAGCTAAATTACTACATGATTCAAATACCTGATTGTAAGAGCCTTTCTAATTCTAGGGTCATATCAAAAATATATAGTCAAGAATATTTGTAGATAAGATGCTACATTGTTGACAAATGTCCCATCTTTGTGTGGTCTCAGCACCAACCTACTTCAGCAGGGGCTTAGTGAGAAGCATTTACTCTATGGGACTTGAGCTTTGAACTAACTTATAAAAGCTCTCGTTTTACATCCCTTCCACGTTTTTAATTATTCACATTGGGTTTATGTGATTTGTGAAATATCCATGGCAAATTGTTAATCTTACACTGGCTTTTGATCTCCAATGTTTATATCTGCCTAAGAGAAGACTCACTTCAGGAAATATTTGCTCATTTTAATATTAATCTAAAGAGACACAATGAAGAATAAATATAAAAATAAACATGCACACACAGTATTATAAAGTAAAATTCAGAACAAGAAATTTGTGGTGAGGCATTTAGAATGTCCAGACCATTACTGCATCGCTCGAGAGCTGAGACTCCTATAGATCATTTTTTGTAAGGAAAAGACATAAGATATTTTGGAAAAAACAAAACCCTGTAATATTTAAGACTCAAAAGTGCCAGATATTTTATCTCATTTATGATCGGAATAAAAATTTCATTGGCATATTGTGGTTTTTGTGATTTTAAACTGTAAGTTGATTTCTATGAAAGGCATTGCAAAATTAAATCTGTAGGTAAAAGTATATTTAATAAAGTTCTATTATTAAAATCATAAATGTTTACTTTCTATTCAAAGAAACTGTGCTGATATGATCATTTTTATCATATTTCTCTCCAGATTTTCCGTCATACCCTCATATATACTTCCTCATAATTATAAACACAAAGAACAGCCATTTTGCAGGCCCTGTAATTATTTTTTCCTTGCCTTCACCATGATCCATTTATAATTTAATTATTAAAATAGACACAAAAACCTTCTACAGATGAAACCTTGAAAGTAAACATTTTAATTAGACCATGAAGGAATCCTTTCCGAAACCATGAGCTCTCGGTTGTTTCCTCCTGACTCCATATTGTTGGTGTGGTGACAAACGAGACTGCTTAACTGAGAGCAGAGTGAGGAAAGAGAATGTTAAATCAGGACTGAAGTCATTTTACAGACCCACTGAGTGCAAAAAGCAGAAGCAACTACTAGAACACAGTCAGAGCATGCAATATTTCAGGCGCTTCAGTCAGGTTCTTGTAATTTTTTTTTTTTTGAAGACAGAGAGCATGCATTGAAAATGTATTTATGAGTTTATGAGGTACACAGTAAGATTTAGATTCATGAATGTATTTATAGTATTCAAATTGAAGGCACTGTGTTACTCATTACTGTCAAGCTTTATTATTTGTAGTACTTTGACTGTCTCTTCTGACTATGCGCTGTTTATGTACTTAACTACTGGTTGAGCTCACTCTGCTGGGTGATCTAACTGTGGTATTATATGACATCTCCAGTCTCTTTACCCTTTCCATGTCTGTCTCTAGTAACTGCTATGTGACTCTCATCATTTTCCAGATCAACTGTTTGGATTCTACATATGTAACTATTTATATTTGTATTTAAAAGACATAGGGCATATGTACATGTGCCTACATATTTCCAGAGGAATTTGGCACAGTCTTTGACCGGAATATTTCCTAGACATACAAGTCCCTTATTTCAATGCAGAAGATTCAAATAATTCCCAAAGAAGTAAGTGAACACACAATAGAACTTGTTTATAGTAGAATTACAACCTCTCCCTCCCACAATAATGATAACCCAAATGAAGGAGAAAGACAGGAGCATGGCACAATGAGTAAAGGTACCTCAAGCCTGGTGACCTGAGTTTCATCTTTGGAAGCCTAAGGTAGAAAAAAAAATGACTCCAGAACTGGGGGCTATAGCACATGCATGTGCATGCATGTGCACACACACACACACATACACACACTAAATAAATAAATAAATAAATAAATAAATAAATAAATAAATAAATAAA